GAAAACTTAGACCAGGAACTCTTGGAAATTTTAGATTTAGTGGACACTAGTGTCCAGGCTGCTAATGAGCATATCCGAGAGCAATTATTGAAGGACGAAAATGAATCGGACTCGTCAACAATAAAATCAAGTAAATCATCCGTGAAATCAAACATAACCAGTTCCTCAAATGATAAGATCCCAAAGTGAGTGAAAGAGGACTCAATTGTTGAAGTTCGAGAACAAAAAGCAAGGGATGCTAATGAACGACTAGAAAAATTAGAGGAAGAGCAGAGATCTCTAGAGGAAGAAATGCGAAAGAAAGCAGATGAAGTTGAACTCAATCGAAAAAGAGTCGAGGATGCACGATCCATTGCCTTTTAAATGAAACAAGGGCGAAAGCATACAGCAAGAATAGCAAAAAGGCAACATCTGTGACGGACGATCCGGAACCTCTTAAAACGTGCCTACCTCGTCCTAATCCCGATCCCCCATCTTATACACGAGTGAAACAAAAAGGCGTAGAGCTGCGAAACTTCTCTAGAGATGATAAAACCGATTTCGAGGCGTGGAACGCGGCCTTCACATCAGTTGTTGATGAGACCAACATGCCAGTAAAGGAAAAAATGCTACGGCTGCAGAACTGCCTGAAAGGAAAAGCGTTAGAGACAGTCAAGGACCTTGGATTCACTCAGCATGCGTACGAGAGAGCGAAAGAAAAGTTACAACGCAAGTATGGTGGTAAACGTAGACAGACCCTGACACATTTGGCAACCTTAAGAGCACTACCCAAAGTACGACGCCATAACCTGGAAGAATTAGAAACCTTGTTGTCAATGCTAGACCGTATTCTTATCGCATTACAAGACGATGATCGTGGCAATGATGAAATTAGAAGTCAGCACCTTTGCTTAACAGTGAAGGAAAAATGTCCAGTGGAATACGTCAGAGAATACAAGTATTGGTTAAATGAGCGGGATGAAGATGATGATTTTAAAATGCTGGTCCAGTGGATCGAGAGGCGTGTTTGCATCATGGATGAGGCTAAGGAAGAAACGGGAGAATTCGTCAAAGCGTACCATGGAGGACAACGTCATAATCAAGGCTTTAATACAGATAAGAAAGTTAGGAAATGTATCGTTATGAATTGCGACGCTGATCATCCGCCTTGGGTTTGTCCAGAATTTAAAAAGCTCCCTGTAGCTACACAAAATCAACTAATAGCTAAAACAAGACGGTGCTTCTCTTGTCTAGCGGCTGGTCACCGAAGTAAGCAGTGTGGCAGAAAGAGAAAATGTGGAGTCAGCGGATGTGAAAGTAAAGGACATAGCAGCTTGTTACACGAGCCTGAGAGAATAGAAAAACAGAATGAAGATAATGACAACAACAAAGATCAGACCAATCCTTCAATTGGAGGGACAGATGCAAGAACCTATACGACAAACCGAGTTGAACAAATATCATTGATGGTTCTCCCAGCAACTGTCGAAATTGGCATCAAGAAGATAAAAATCAATGTTATGCTGGATCCTTGCTCCACGGGATCATACGTCACCGAAAGCCTAGCGGGAGAGTTGCACTTGAAAGGAGAAAAACAGGATTTGAGCATATCAGGAACTGGTGGGATGGAGATTAAGAGACAGTCGAAACATGTAAAGTGTGTGATCACATCCGTCAATGGAACCTTCTCATCGCCTGTGGAAGCAAATGTGTTATCTAACGTAACAGGGAACACGCCGGCAATTGAGTGGAACGAATTAAAGGGCAATTGGGCACACTTGGAGACCATCCCATTTGAAAGAGTTTCTAAGCGAAAGCGATGTTTTAATCAGAAGCGATCACCCCGTATTCCATAAAGTATTAAGAGAAGTTACAGGACACAATGCCAAAGACCCAGTAGCACGACAAACGCCCCTCGGTTGGGTCTGCTTTGGTCCAACGAGTAAGAACCCGTCGACATGGACTACCCAATCCCACATGACACATACATACCATACCGAAGATATCCAAGAAGTAAGTGACAATCTTCAGAGTTTTTGGGAACTAGAAGCCATCGGCATTAAGGACGAGAACGTTCAACCACTGACACCAGACGAGAAAAAGGCAGTTGAAATTGTGCAATCAACCCAAAATTACACCAACGGGAGATATGAAGTAGGTGTTCCTTGGAGAGATGGTGAGCCAGATTTCGCCGACAACTACGACATGGCTCATTCAAGACTACTGAAGCTGGAGTCATCCCTACGAAAGAAACCGGATGTCGCTATGGCCTACAACCAGATAATCCTGGATTACCTCCAGAAAGAGTACAAAACGGGTGACCAGTGGTTGTTGCCGCACTTTCCGGTGATCAATCAGGAGAGAACGTCGACCAAAGTTTGAATTGTCTTTGATGTGGCAGCGAAGCACAAAAACAAATGTCTGAACGACGCGCTTCACCCTGGGCCCAAGCTCCAACGAGAATTGGTAGACGTGTTAACCAGGTTCCGAAGAGAACCCGTGGCAGTGTCAGCAGATATCTCTCAGATGTTCTTACAATTCGGACTTGCCGAGAAAGATAGACCTTTTCATCGCTTCCTTTGGCGTGATTTGAACAAAGAAAGAGAACCCAAAATTTACGAGTTCCAGCGTCTACCATTCGAAAATACCTCTTCACCATTCTGCGCACAATATGTACTTCACTCCCACGCGGAGAAGAATAAAGATCACTTCTTGAAAGCCACAGATACAGTGGATAATGCAATGTACATGGACGATGTGCTGGACTCTTGCGAGACAGTTCAGGGAGCCATAACCCTTAGACAACAAACATCCGAGTTGGTGTCTGGTGCAGGCTTCAATTTGAGGAAATGGATGTGTTATCAAAGATGTTCCTGTTGATCGTCTTCTTCCCGGATTAGAGCTCAGTGATGGTAGCCTGCCAACGTTGAAGACCCTGGGAGTTCTGTGGAATGCCCGGCAAGATATCTTCAAGTTCGTGGTTCACCCTCCATCGCTGACTGAAGGCCCGACCAAAAGAGAAGTCCTAAGTAGTATAGCAAAGCTGTTTGATCCATTACAGTTTTTGGCTCCCTTTACTATACGAGCGAAATTATTGTTGCAAAAGACATGGGCAGCTGGAATTGGTTGGGAAGACAAAATGCCAGAAAATTTGTGCAATGAATGGAACAATTGGGTAAAAGAACTGAGCGACTTTAATGGATTCTAAGTCCCTCACCCTCTACGCTTGCCTGGACCTACGGACGTCTGGTTGCACACCTTCTCAGACGCATCCCAAGATGCTTACGCAGCAGTGTCTTATCTTGTCAGTAATTACGAAGATCACGAAGCCACCTCACGGATCGTCGCATCCAAGAGTCGTTTCATGCCACTAAAGTCAGTTACTATCCCAAGACTGGAACTCATGGGAGCAGTACTCGCCACCCGACTGGCCAACAGCATTCTCCAGACATTGACAGTCAATGGTGCAACGTACTGGACGGACTCAACGAACGTCCTGTATTGGGTGCGTAACCAGAGCCGTGCATTCAAGCCATTTGTGGCCAATCGAGTGGCAGAGATACAGAGACATTCCAACCCAGAAAAATGGACTTTCAGCAACCAACCTTTGTGAAGACAAATTATGGACGGAAGGACCAGAGTTTTTGACGGATGAAGAAAAACCATGGCCAGAGAAATTATCGAATCACGGTCCATGTAGTGGCACGGTAAAACAAGAAGAAAAGAAAGTCCAAGTTTATACAACGAATAAGGAAGCCAGTGACGACAGCCGCCTTGATCCAAAACGTTATTCATCTATGACCCGCCTTATTAGAGTTACGGCCTGGGTTAAACGTTTTATCAAGAATTGTAAGTCCCCGATAAATTCACGAGATATGTCCATTGTTCTGCAAAACGTCGAGATTAAAACAGCAGAACTGTTCTGGATCCGAAAAGCAACAGCCGAAAGTTATGGAGGGGAATTAGGGACTAAATTGTTGTATAATCGTAGGCAATAGGTCGTACTAGATAGGCAATAGGTCCTACTAGATAGGCAATGGGTCGTACTAGATAGGCAATGGGTCCTACTAGATAGGCAATGGGTCGTATTGCATAGGCAATGGGTCGTAATGGATAGGCAATGGGTCGTAATGGATAGGCAATGGGTCGTAATGGATAGGCAATGGGTCGTAATGGATAGGCAATGGGTCGTAATGGATAGGCAATGGGTCGTAATGGATAGGCAATGGGTCGTAATGGATAGGCAATGGGTCGTAATGGATAGGCTTAGGGTCATAATGGTAGGCAATGGGTTGTATTGCATAGGCAATAGGTCGTATTGGATAGGCAATGGATAGCCAATACGAATCTACAGCTATATTATGAAGTACTACCTTCCATGCACGCGGGCGCATAAATCATTTTAAATTTTCCGGCCAGCTTACAAATGTTTTTGGAAACAGCAAATTTATACAATTCATTTAAAACATTTTGACCAAGATATATGTCATCTCGTACATTACAAAACGAAGGTCAACACCAAACGCCACAGGTACTGTTGACTAACAATTTTAAGGCAGTTATTTGTGATCTACTCAACTGTTTGAATGGTGTAGGAAATCATGATGTTGATGTTAACAACGCTATGTACCGATTTGATTGGCTCATTTCTTTGTGCACAAGGTTTGGAGATTATTTTGAAAGGGAAGAAATGTTCGTTGAGCATCTTCTTCAAGCCCAAGAATTATTATCAGCTATTAATAATTGCGAATTAAGGCAAAATACTTCTAGTTTTTTCATGTACAACAAGACTACTACATGTACTTCTACTCAAACTAGTGGAAGACCAAAGCTTAAGATTCCCAAGGAACAAATTGAACTTTTTCTTGAATATGGCTTTAAAGTTACAGACATTGCAAAAATGCTATGTGTCAGTAAAAAAACAGTCCATCGACGACTTCGGGAGTACAATTTATCCATTAAAAAGTCTTATGCCAGTTTTAGTGATGAGGAACTAGATAATATTGTTGTGGAAATCAGTTCACAATTTAAAAATTGTGGTTACAAGGCAATGCGAGGTCATCTGCTTGCAAGGGGATTTAAGATACAAGAGGAAAGAGTGAGGCAGTCAATGAGACGGACTGACCCAGAAGGGACTTTCATTCGCGCTCTTCAACTGAAAATTACCCATAGGAGAGTATACAATGTGCCAGGACCACTTGCACTCTGGCATATTGATGGCAACCACAAACTGAAAAGGTGACATAGATTTTTTTTTTATTAAAATTAATAAGTTTTATAATACATCATGTGACATTTGGCTTTCCTGCCACCACGGACCCATAAAATTGGAGCACTCTTATTTTGTTATTTGGGGAAAAAAAGTATGATGAAAAAGTCATGCATTTCTCTAATATTACAGTGGTCTATAACCTAAATATATAAAGTAACTGGACTATAAAGAGCCATTTTTAATGATTATTTAGGTGGAAAATAATTATTCACGGTGGTATAGATGGATTTTCAAGAAAAGTAATGTTTATGTCGTGCAGTGGGAATAACAAGGCAACAACAGTTTTAAGTCATTTTGTCAAAGCTGTGGATGAACATGGTTTACCTTCCCGTGTTCGTGCTGATCAGGGTACTGAAAATGTCGGTGTTGCACGATACATGTTAAACCATCCAGCTAGAGGACCTGGAAGAGGGAGCTTCATCACTGGCCCAAGCGTTCACAACCAAAGGATTGAACGTTTTTGGAGGGATCTTTTTGTTGGTTGTCTTTATATTTACTACTCTGTTTTCTTCTATATGGAAGAAGCAGGTTATTTAGATTTAAACAACGAGGTCCATATGTTCTGCTTGCATTATGTATTTATTGACAGAATAAACAAACATATTTCTCATTTTGTTAATGGATGGAATGATCATCCTATACGAACAGCACAGAACAAGACTCCAAACCAACTTTGGATCAGCGGGTTGTGTAACATTGCAGCAAGTAATGACTTGGCAGCACAAACAATTCTAAATCAACCATCACAGGACTGTGAGGTATATATGCAATTGATTTGCATGGAATAGAATATAAAATGTAGACTATATCATACTGAAAAATGCATAATCTTTTTTATCCAGCAGTTTTGGTCTGAGTTTGGAATAGAGACAGAAGAACATTCATTCTGTTCAGAAGGAGGGTGTGAAGTTGACCTGCTTGATGTGGGCCAACCCATTTCTGATGATGAGTTGGAGGAGCTAAAAGAAAAGATTCACCCACTTCAAGATGATGATGCATATGGCATTAACACCTACATCCAAGTATGCCTGTTTGTAACAGAAATACTTAACCAATCAACATCACACTCACCACACTAAATGAATTACAAAATGAAGACTTCTTTAAAAATGTATGTATAAAATATGTAATAATGAATATATTATGCATGAATCATTTTCTTAGTTTAAAAGTCACAACAATTACTATCAAGTAAATATTTTTTCTGTTTGATTTTACACCAAGTGGGTTATAATGCATGCCAGCAACAAAAATAAAAGCATACTAATTTTTACTGTACACATAAACGTCTGTATACATGAAAAACAGAACAGAATATACAAAGTTAAGGAAACAATTTCCATCAACGACTAAGTTAAAATGTTAAAGAACAACTCCAATAAAGATGTTTGTATTTTGTATCATCCCCCAGTCAGAGTTTAAACACATCCATATGCTGGTCCGTCGAAAATGTCATCCGCAAAATTAGCTGTAAAGATAGAGGAATCTTCGGAACTGTATCGTTTGTTAACAGGAAAATTAATTGTCCTTCCACAAGTGTTGGCTTTCGCTCGTGCTCCATGCAAAACATCATGCTGGAACAACATTGACCCTTCAAAACCTCCAGGTGGAAAATAACGGGACCCTGTGATAAACTGTAATACATCATGGAGGTTGAGAGTGAGAACATTTTCTGGTAAAGTTGATGTAGTACTTAAAACTCCATCTAGATAAAAAACAGAGCGGGTAATTGCACATTGACGAACTTTTTTAAGAAATTGATTAAAATTATATGCTATCAATTCCTCACTAACTCTCTTTGAGGATCCTTTAACGGAAAAAATGGGCGTGAACGGCGTGCGGACATCTTGTTCCTTAAGCTCAGCATGAGCAAGCTCCTTGAACGCTTCCTCAGGGTATTTCTTCATTATGGCCAGCACATTAAACAGTGACAAGCCCTCTTGAAAGCTGTAAATTTCTTCTGCAACAGAACTCAGCATGATGTGCTTAACAGCAGCCTTGATAGTGGCTTCCTTCTTTTCAAATGGAACAGTAGCTGAATTGATTCCCATGTCAAAATGGTCATTAAATGCTAATATTATTTTGTTCCATTGTTGTGAGTCAGTGCAGCTGTTCATTTCTTGCAGCTTCTTCTTAATTTCCTGATTCTCCATGGGCAACTGTTCAATTAAGCTTGCAGCATCTTGTTCATCGGGGGTACCAAGGACAAAATGAATAAGGGATGGAAGGAAAAATTGAGGACCACATGCTCCATTGAGTAATGCAAGTGCGACAAGCTGACCAAACATTTTATACTCCCCTTCAGCCAAGGCTGACTGGTCATGCATAAAAGTAATTGCTGGTAATGCACCTCTTGTTATTCTGGAATCAATCGCTTGTTTAAAGGCAATAGAAAACATCTCCCTTGTAGGACCACCTGTATCTGCTGCAGGTTCCCCAACAAACTCTGGCTGGTTTCGAACTTTTGGTCTTTTAGCTCTTCAAAAACATTTTTTAAAACTCTTGAACGCTGTACATAAAGACCAATGGGTTCCGAGCATCCAGACTTTAATGCAGCCACTGCAAGTTCTTTTGCCAGACTTGTGGGTACATTTGAGATGGACGTATTCAGGATCTCTAGGTCATCATCAAAATTGACATCATTTAGTTCTTCATCTAACCTCCTTGCCAGCTGTTGATCAGCTTCTATTTGTTGAATATCACTACCATTAGCTTGCTCTGCAAAAAAGATTATATGGCAATGTAAACAACTAGGTCAAATTAAGTAACATTTCATCCTTTGTTCCACTGCTTGGCTATTCGTTCATGAATATCAATGTACAATGTCTAAGTAAGCTACATTGTTTGGAGACTAGATGAAAAATAAAACTTATTACCTTTACTGGTGTACATTTATGCAAAAAAATTGTTCCTTTTTCATCACATGTCTACTGTATTTTCTCAAAATCAACCGGTAACAATATTTAAATTAATGAAAATACAATAGACATTGGATGAGAAACAAACAATTTTTGCATAAACATAGATTATAACATAGTTAATGAGTTGTAGTGTACAGGCCTGTGTAGCCCATCTATAGCCTCCAAAAACATCAATCAATGTACACCATAATTAATGAAAAATTGCTTTGTGCACAATGCAGAAATTTTACTATTTGGGGATTTTAAGAAGCCCTTTTGCAGAAACTACTTAAATGCATTTTACTTACCAGTACTATTACTGGGTGAGGGAGTATGACTGGCTGAACTGGGACCATCAACAACAACAGCATCTTCATCATGATGCTGGAATTGGCTATCGACTGATCTATAAAAATACACATAATATGTGCAACAATTTTTTTAAATAAGTTATTAGCTAGTTATCATTAGTTTAATCTAGCGGTCTTAATCAAACAGCTTGCTCAAGGTTTCTAGTAGACTCCTAGGCCTATTATATCACTTTAAATAAAAAATAAAAATGCAAAATTATGCCATATGGACACTTTACAGTACACTATATAATTAAGTAACAGAATGAAATGTAGATAAAAGAAAAATACAATTCAAATGTACAATACTTATATAGCAGAAATATACTGCAAAATCATACTAGCCAAAACTCAAGTTAACGATACCTAAATCATTGGATTTTGTGCATGTACAAATAATAGGCTGTCGTGAGTTTTCATATACAGCCCTTATATAGATTAATGGTCATCATTACCTCCTTAGTGTTACAATAACAAATAAGCATTTCATTTTGTGATTTTGCATATGAAAATTGAGCCAAATATTACAGTATGTGTACTGTAGGTTTGATCCAAGATCCAACCCCTAATTGATTTTAAATAATAAACCACAATATTGTTAATAACTGTGACTTGAATAAAAACTTTTGCAATTTGTTCTAAATCTCACTTAAAATTCTGAATGTATATAACTAGCATTATATACTCACTCAGAAATACAGTTGTGCTCTTTGACTTTACTAAATGGCATTTCCTTGTTGCAATGAATGCAAGGAACCATTGGTCCAACTTCCATCTATGAATTTAAAAAAAAATTGTCACATTAGATCTCTGATACAAGGCTTCATGCTATATATAGGTATGTCTTACACAATATTTGTCTATATGTTCAATATTTGTATAGGTATGTCTTACACAATATTACACAATTTTTGACAGAAAATCTTCCCAGGAATTTTTTATGTCTCTTAGGAAATATTTGTCAATTAATCGGTATAAACAACAGAAAATTAGGTTGTTCATGATAGATAGACTAGTGATATACACAGGAAAGTTTTATTTTGGAATTTAGCTGCCTGCAAACAGAGTTGATATTTTAACTCTAAAAAAGTACACTACCTCACAGGAACTTGATTCATCAAGGTCTGCTTGAAAAGGTCTTATGTAGGCAACTGCAGAATTTAGCCTTTCCTTTAAGTAAGGGACAGTATACCCTTCATTGCTTGGCAGTATAAGAACTAATGATCTTTGACCACCACCACCCCCATGGGCCCTGAGAACTTCAAATCCTCCTCCAGCTTTTAGTTTTGGGAACTTGCTCTCTAGAAAATTTTGTAGATCAGCATGGGAAGCCTTTCTGTTTGGAAATACAATTCTGACTCGTCCAAGTCCAGCTTGAGTTAAGGCTTCACTTCTACTTCTATCTGGGGTTGTAGATTCATCACACCTCCCAAGTATACAAACATCATGGGTCCAAGTGTCTGGAACCTTGAATGTCACTGGCGTGTAACCAACCATCTGCCTAGACCTTTTTGCTGGTGGCTGTGATGTGCTAGTGGTTGTTCTTGATGTGGATGGTCTTGACACATTTCTTGAGCAGAGTCCAGGAAAAGCTCTTCGAAATTTTTAATTTAAATGAAATCAAATGTTACAATCTATAGCAACATCTTGTGACAATAGGGTATGTGTTCCGCGCATGTTCGCGCCAAAAATATGGGAAGGGTTTTCCACGTGTCTATATCAATAATATTTTAGAAAAATGCACTCGTAGATTCAATTTTATTATTTTCATTAACTTTAATACCTGAAATCATTAGTTGCACTTTGTTGCCTTTCACGATCAGCATCCACTGGCCGAGGCAAAGAACTTTGCGCGTCGCTCGTAGTTTCTCTGTAATTATTTCGGCGACTACCGTCACTTGTATCTCGAGTTGGGCTCCCCGACTCTGTTTCCAACGCAGCTAGCGCATTTTTTAAGGCATCTTTAGCCCGTTGTAGCATATCGTCACGGTCTCTCGACATTGTTAAACAATTCTATGCTAATGAGGCATAAAATTAACTCGAATAAATCTACATATTTTGTTAATATAAGTCGTCTTTGTTGTCACTCTACAGCACGTTTTCTACAACATGCAAGAAAGGTCGACGAGCCCACGTTATTTACTAGTATGGATAGCTGATTCGCAGGCTTGAATAGGAAGTACTTCATCTTCTAGCCATTTTGTGGTTTTGCAACTATTACGACCCAATGCCTATCCAATACGACCCATTGCCTATGCAATACGACCCATTGCCTATCCATTACGACCCATTGCCTATGCAATACGACCCATTGCCTATGCAATACGACCCATTGCCTATGCAATACGACCCATTGCTTATCTAGTAGGACCCATTGCCTATCTAGTACGACCTATTGCCTATGATTATACAACAATTTAGTCCCTAATTCCCCTCCATAGAAAGTTTCGTCAACAAACAAAAGGGCAAACGCCTATTGAAATTCTGCCCTATAGTCGACAAAGAAGGCATATTAAGAGTGGATGGCCGCCTCCGCCTTGCTGAAGATTTACCTTACGACACAAGACATCCAATCATATTGCCCAAAGATCATCCGATAAGCCGACTGGTTATACTTGCTGCTCACGAAAAGATCGGACACGGAACGGAACAGAATACCTCTTGACAGAACTTCGTTCGAGATTTTGGATTATAAAAGGAAGAAGACAGTTAGAACCCTAATTGGTAAATGTCCTGGATGCAGACGAAGATTCCTCACGAAGCCTTGTGGTCAAAAAATGGCTCCCCTGCCTACTTCAAGAATAACTTTACCCTTAAGAGCATTTGAGCGAATTGGCACAGATTTCGCCGGACCATTTCTGACGAAACAAGGATGTGGGAAGCCGCGGATGAAACGATACCTTTGCCTGTTTACCTGTCTAACTACCCGCACAGTCCACCTGGAAATGGCGTACAGCTTAGACACCGATTCGTTTATAAACGCATTTGTGCGGTTATGTGCACAGAGGGGGACGCCTTCTTATGTTATCTCGGACAACAGGACGAATTTCGTGGTTGGGCAACTAGGTGGACAATTTGCTCCTGACATCACCCCCGAACAAGCCTTTAACCCCAAGAAACGTTGGAGACGTATTCAACAACTAATCGCTCAGATCTGGACAAGATGGCGTAAAGAGTTCCTCCCAAGCCTCAACGTAAGAGGAAAGTGGTTCGAACGGAAGAGAGAGCTCAAACCCGGAGATGTTGTTTTGGTGGTGGATCAAAATGCTAAGCGATATGAATGGCCTCTAGGACGTATCCAGGAGATCTATCGAGGAGGTGATAGACTTATCAGAGACGTAAAGTTTCGAGTAGGAGACAACGAATATATCCGTCCTGTACACCAGCTGTGTCCGCTAGAACGGGACAACGGAAACGAAAGCGACAAACAATAATTAAACTTGCTAACCTTATCAATATTTTGACTCTGTTACGAATGTGATCACATTCGGGAGGGGGATGTTTTGGAATTTATAGTTAACCCCATACCCCAAAGTTTCACGGGGGGAATGGGGCGACGCGAACAAAAAACTGGGCGCGAGCATAATAATTAAGTGTGGTTGATAAAAACATTTTTTTGTACGACATAGTGTGTTTCAAGAATAAACCGTTTCTTTTTATATATTTTTGACTTGTTTTGTACCGGGATAGATTCAAAATCCTCTGCCTGATTAAGACTGTTCAAATTCGTGAACACATATATACAAATAGTTGTGACATGTGACCACATATTTCCATCACATGTCGCACTTAATTACGCATGCAAACGCTGTGAACGCTTCGTTAAATCCATAGCTGGCAAAGCATAAACAATGTGACAACAGGCTATTAGTAAAATATACCTTCATTTATTTTATCTGAGAGCCCGTTTATCACCGAATGTCAGCGTTTTCTAATTGATCAGCGATTTCCCTAAGGTATAGCTCTGGATGTCTGAGAATTATTTCACATATTGCCAGTTCCTCATGCTGGTAAAGTGTTGTGCTACAAAGAGGCCTGCCAAACTTATGGGGCGACGTAACGTTATCAGTATTAATAAACAGGTTGAAAACGCGATCTACTGTCCTTGGCGAAACAAACAAATCGACAGCAACTCTGGTTGAAGACCTGTTATAAAACAATTTCTGCCACACAATCCCCCATCTTATATTGTCTGAATACGGCTTAGGCATTTTACAACAAAAATATCCCAACTAAACAATAACCTTGAAGCAATTTTGCAGTGTTTGCATGCATATTTAGATATGACACGTGATGGAAATATATGGTCACATGTCACAACTATTTGTATGTATGTATATATTTTCGAACAACCTTTCCTAGATCCACAATATATATATATATATATATATATATATATATATATATGTATATGTATATGTATATGTATATGTATATGTATATGTATATGTATATGATATGTATATGTTATAAACACAAGGAGGAAAAAATACAGCATTGCATGGTGAGGTATGTCAGAAAAAGAGCAGGAATTGAAGATCGCTATGGGCTTTAAGAAATTGATATCTTAAAGTTTGAGGGTTTAAGTCATGTTGATGCAACCAGTCTTGAAGCATTGAAAGCCAGAAATATTCGGCGTTATTCTAATGTTGTTAAGTCATTGTATGGTGGAGGCCTCTATTGTGTCTTAAAAGAATTAGAGGGTCATAAATACACTTACGATGAATGGAAGAACATGTCCTTCACTTTCTAAACTTGAAACCAAAAACGATTTCCACTTTATGTGATACAAATAATGAAGGGAAAACAGGATTGAAGCAAGCTACAGTACCAGTACCACTCAATGTGGAAACCAATCTTTTTCATGATAGCCAGGAAACGGTCGCCCACTCTCCAGACATATCCATTCTTTGTAATGATTCAGAAGAAGATACAAATAATACCAAAGCTGCTTATAAATCGTAAGGTGTTGAGTATTGCATCAGGCTGGGAACATTGCAACAGATTTTCCAAAAGGCAGAGTTTCTTTTGAACTAACCAGGTGCTATCAAAGAGGCTGCTTCAGATAATTTTTTATCCAGAACTGTTAAAAGTCAATCCTGTTGTATGCCACTTATTGTTTGTCTTGTGAAAAAAAGGTCGAATTTGTTTGCATGTGAGTGCAGTACATTTAAAAGTGTTGGTATGTATGCAAGGTCTATTGTTCAATTATCTGACTGTTTACGATATTATTGCCAACAGAAGTCAAGGTGTTATTATTAATGTGAAGGTTCCGTTAAAGAAGAATATTGTAGAGATTTTTAAATCTCACATTTTGGATACTAATGTCAATTCTATGTTAGCTTTTATTTATGTTTTGAGGAGTCATCCAACGAAATATGTATTAGCGCAAGCAATTAAACCGGCGCTTGTATACGTTATTAAGGACGTGATTTTTCAGTAATCACTATGAACTACTACCCCCCCCCCTAGTTTCTTTTCAATTTTGAAAGAATTACTATATTGATCTTTACAAAAAGTGGGTCCCCCTTGTGGCTACGCCACTGCTGTTCCATGCAATATTTTGAAATAATAAATTTTGCAAACTGTATGAGAGACGAGCATGTCTTCTTGCGTATGTATTGAAACTGAGCATTATGAACATACTGTCTGAATACAAAAATGTAAATTGAAAGGACTGCTTGACTTTTGTAGACTTATGGCACAGCCTAGATAAAAGAATTATGCAGTTTTTTTTTGAGAACAATCAGTTTATTAGACAGAATCTAGAACCTATGGCGCCGGCACATTTATTAGTTGCATTTCCAAAACACGGACCCAGCTTCATCATTTAAACTCACTTAAATCCGGTTTTATACCAGATATGTTAATTTACTGATACACAAGAGAAATATATAGCTGGTTGTTCGGCTGTTTTCTGAGCCGTTTGGTCTGCGCGAGGTTTACTTATGGTAAGTAATAGGTCTGATATAATAATAAACCTACCACACTCCGGCGACTTTGATGGATATCGAATATTACATTGCTATAATATTCCATTCCATCGAATCATAGAAATATTTCACTGCCCAAGATAGACCATGTGAATTAAATATTTCTCGGAGATTTGTATTCCACGGTGCTGCAAATTGACGAATATATTGCATCAATACATCGGTAACATAATTGTTTTTTTCCCTTCTTCCAAACTCGATAGCCTTGCTAATCCACGATCATATACTAGTAAAAAATTGCAATACTTCACCCAAAATAAACGTTAATTACAGCAACATATCATTTAAAAAAGTACCAAACAGTTGATAAACATTATTTTCCTATCTTTAGAAGTATTTTCAAAGCACGATTGTCCAGGAATAGTAGGAAAAAAACAGGAAAAAACCCGAAAATTTTACAGGTGCATCTCGTGCGCCGATTTTGAAGTGGAATAACTGACGCTGTCACGCTGATGTGATTCTGTTTTTACTTTGATTGAAAAACAGGCCTTGGCAAGAACTCTTTA